TGGATGGATGGATGGATGGATGGATGGATGGATGGATGGATGGATGGGAGTTAAAACCCACTTTTAGCCCCAGTTTCCAGTAAATCAAGAGTAAATAAAATTATTTTCCAGTCATGAAAATTAAAGTTTTAAATCCATTTACTAAAAACCAAACGTCATACTTTTGCTAAACCTATTCAAGAACAATTTGTTTTTAAAACTACTTAAACTATAGTTGAAACATCAAATGAAGCCAAAAGTTAAAAAAGTTAAAAATTAAAAAGTAATAATAATTCACAATAACTGAAAATGCGATTTTCCCAAACTGTAATTTGAAAATTCAAGGTTTAAATTTTTTCAGCCACCCCTCCACTTTCTGTGAAAACCTCAAATAAACACTTTAATTTGCCACATTTTAATTTGTTGTCTTGAATTATGATCAATTCGTCTCATGAACATGTCTGTGATTTTTCTGAATCCTCGTTCAACTCAAAGTAAATCCATGATTCAGTCTGATAAATTGAGAGTTTCTCTATGTTCTATGCAGCTTATGCTCTGATCTGAGACACGTGCATTGCTTTGCATTAAATTAATTAAACATGTCCCCTTAGCATGGGTCATACACTGCAGGACGATGCTTGTCTCAATTTAATGACTGTTTCATTTGTTTAGGTTTGATTTTAGGACCAGGGGTGGAACTTGAAGCTCTTTAATCTTTAATCCCTACAGTTATCGGTGAATATTCTCAACTCAGTTTTAATAATATAAACTCTAAAACCCTTATCCCCAGTAAGCCTTGGGTCCTGGACAGCCCTGTTGCTCTTAAGCTCCAAACTGCTGTCTGCTTTCCTTGCTAGGTAATTCAGTCTTGATATAATCCGAAAATTGAATTAATTAAGTCAAGAGTCCTTCATTTTACTCATAAAACTCTAAGCCTTCCTTTCTTTGAATTATTAATAAGTGGATGGAGGTGCACGATGCATGCAAAGGGCAAGAGATAAAACTCGGGCACTTTCATTTCACGTCACTGACTCTGTGAGACCTTTATTTGCTGTGTTTCTGTTTTTAAACTGAACAGACCCCCTCCCAGACCAAAAACATGCACGTTAGGCTGATTGGTAATTTTAAATTGTCCCTAGGTGAGAGTGAGCGAGTGAATGGTTGTTTGTCTCGTTTGTCTCTATGTGATGGACTGGAGACCTGTCCAGGGTGTCCCCCGCCTCTCGCACAGTGACTGCTGGACATGAACACCAGTGACCCCCGTGACCCAAAAAGGAAAAAGTGGGTAAAGATGGATGGATGGATGGAATTGTTTTATTAAAATTGAACCCTTGTGTAATTTAAGAGTTAAATTAATCCCTTCCAACCTTGTTTAAATACTGTACCAATATAAAATAAAACCAGTTAGTACACAACATTCAGACTAACAAGGTGAAGTCAGGTCCTCTGGACAGAGAGAGGGTCTGATAGATCCGTCCAGAGGACCTGACTTCACCTTGTTGGATTCCTGGATTATTGGGCATGCATCGGGAAACGTGATTTTGTTCATGTTTTTAACCAAACATTATGTGTTAACATCCAGATGCATTGGCGTCAGAAGAATTTGTAATGTGTCTGAGGGTCATCTTCAAAAAAAATTTTGAATATATTAGATCCCATTTCCTGCATTTTGGTGTATTTTAACAGATTGTTAAACATGTTTACCTACATATGTAAACACTTGTTTCAATAACTATTTTGGAGAGCATGGCACAACAAGAAGTAGCCTGACCAACAGCTCTCCTTGTGTGATTAGAGCACGCTCCGCTTCTCTCACGTGTAGCATGAAGCTGCACTGCTCTAACTATGACCCCTGACCCTTATTCATCTTTCAGACTCACCATGAATCGTGTTCTTTAAAGTTACCTCTGACTTCAATAATGTCTGATGATTTTCTACACATTTCTCGTCCTTGGACACTGAGTCAGCTAAAGTCTGACAAATGTTTACCTTACTTTTCCTAAGAAACAAAAACAAATCATTAATGAAGTTTGTTTTATTTGATTTACAAGTGAACATGAATAATTTTGATTGTTGTTTTCAGTCATTAAAATTAAATCATGTGAAATATTACAATGTGAATAACACATTTCTCTGTTCTGTTTTTCAGAAAGTGATTATTCCTTCAGAGACACCTGTGAAAATGTTGTTTGAGCTGGAAGCTGTTTTCTGCAGCAGGGAGGTCACGGTGTCCCTGAGAGTAGTCAAAATAACTGAGCAGAGAGCTGCTGTTTGCACAAAGATCTTTTGTGTGAAAGGCAGTTCGCCTTGGACCCCCGAACTGAGCGGTTCATTTTGGAATCCCGATGCGGAGAGTTCCTCTCCGGCCCCGAACCAGAAGGCGGTTAGTTTTTGGACCCGATCCTAGAGGTCTTGTCAAGGTCCACTCGTTCAACTCGGGAGTAGATAAACACGTCGCTCAAATTACAATTGTTAGAAGTTTAACTAACTACAGAAGATGAAGCCTTTTCTCTATGCAAGACTCACGCTACCGGCTGAAGGTTGCGATGGACGGTGTACCTTCTCATCAGCTGTTGCCCTCACAGACCCCTGAAGCTGTCACAGTGATGGGTAGTTCCTGGTGAGTCCTCCTCATGGTGTCTCTGGTCAGATCCACCAGAGAACCCCAGAAAGACGAGTGATGCCATCAGCACTGACCCGGTAAGGAGCAGAAACTGGTGACATGATGCAACTCTTGGTCTGGTTATGCCATTTTAAGCTGATGCAACTTGGTAAATAATTTCCTGACTTGCAGTGACGATAAATGACTTCATCTGATCAGATTAAATAACTTCTTTCAACCAAAATCCAAAGTAAACTATCTATTAAAATATTCAAACTTTGTCTAAATTCATGCGCGTATAAAACTGAAATAATTCCTGCTCAAAGAGTGAATGTTGCCTTAGATAAGAGCATTAAGCCTTGATTGATTCATTATTATTGTTTGTTTATTATTGTTGTTGATTTTTAGTTGGATTATTTTTGTAATAAAACTTCAAAGACAACTTTGGTCTCATGATTCAGATGAATATTCATTTGTTCTGGTCTAGAACTCCCTGTAATTAATGGATTCTACTTCAGTGACTGATTCTGATTATTAAAGGGTGAATATATTAATTAAGTTGTTGTTGGTCAGTAAACGGA